GGTTACAGGCGTGAGCCACTGTGCCTGGCCTTGAAAAAAGTTTCTAAAGTTCAACAGTATTAAAATAACGTTTCTGCTCCTTCAGCCCCTCAGCCCTCTCGCTCCCCTCCCTCCCCCTCTAGAGAAGAAAAAAAAAACTTTTCTGTAATGGGAAAACATTTTATACTTACTCCCACAGTTCTACACGAAACACAGCACTCCACGTGTCTATTTTTCTATTATGAATGCAAATATTAAAATACAATGTAAAATTTCCAACTCAAAGATAATGTTTAGAATATAGATATGATCCTGGTTCTTGATTTCCTCAGTTAAAGGAAAATATCCAAATGGCTATTCTTTAACTTTGCTATTTGGCTGTAGTAATTATTTCTATGATATGCACAAAATCCAAGTATATATAACAATTAGTACTTGTTATGAAATCTCTTACCACATTTTAATACTTACTCTTAATAAATCATCTATTCTTCCCTCCTTCTTCTCTAAGTCAGAATTCTTACTGTTTTCTAGTGCAGATATTTTTTCTATTGTGAGGTCAGACTATAGAGACAAAGGCAAAATAAATTCAGAATTAGTCTCAAAGTAATACATGTCATCACATTTTTCTCATTACTTTTCTGGAAAAAACATTTGATAACACAAATAGCCTGGAATCACATGGTTCAAGAAATTAAATCTGCTTTCCTCATCCTATTCATCAAGACTTAGCTGAGATCGTTATATCCTGCTATATCCGCACTTCAAAAACATATTAATTCTTAAATCAAATGTATGAATTCTGAAACTACTGTGAATTGAATACAGAAACGCATTATTCCAAAAATGAAACTAATTTTGAATAGAAAAAGACTGCACAGGACACATGACCCAAACCTCTAAAGAACAAACGTGCCATCTAGTGGAAACAGAGAGCAATCAGAAAGGGAGAAACAAAGTTATCTGAGTGCTCAACTATCTAAATCTGTTCAACTGTCCAAAAGCTGGTGGTTCGAATAAAATTTAAATCTGCTCTAGGGGGTGTATATTGAGATTTAAGAAATTCTCCTGGATGCCAAAGATCCTGTCTTGAAAGCAATACAGGCAGTGCCAAAAGAGGCTGCAAGAAAACCAAGTATACTGTTGGCTAACTCAACGCTGTAGAACGGAGGATACACACACCATCCTTTTCAGCTATAATCTTAAAATGTTCACAACATTCCTTAAACTAAAAAGAGTTTCTGAAGACTGTTTAAGAATGAAATTATGTTGGTGTACCACATGTTAGAGAAGTTTAGTTAGGTCCTGCCAAATAAGTAAGCAGGTACAAGGAATAAATTAACTATTTTCATAAAGTAGGGAATTAACATCTATTGTAAGTCTACTGTAAGCACTATGCTAATTGGCATTTTGTACACTCTGAGATAATTAAAATCAACCACATTTTTACAGATGATTTGTTACTAAGGAAACCTGAAGCCCAGAAAGATAAAATATAAGCTACCATGACAGAATCTGAACCGACGCTTTCAAAGTGTGTGCTTTCCTCAACACCATGCTACAGTATAATACACCAGAAAGGTAAAAAAAGAAGCCACAAAAAGTTAAAGCACCTTCCAAAGGTCTTTACTCACAATACAAGTTCTGAATATAATACCCACAAATAATGAGGTATGGTAGGAGAAATACAGGGAAGACAGAGAGGAATCGGACTTTAAATATGGCTAGGTTAGCATTTATTCCTAAGAAGATATTCTCCTCCACTGTGTAATAATCATTGACCTACCTGGGTCTGTCTGTGCTGGATGGAGATCTGTTTTTGTGAGCTGCAGGAATGCTCTGTGTTGCCAGATCCCGTAGAAGAGGGACTGTTTTGTTGAGCCTATAATAAAGGTACATCACAAATCATAGGAAAGTTTTGTATCTTCTTCCACAAACATTTGTATGAATGTAAACGACTGCTACTATCTAAAACAAATCCTTTCTTCTGAAAGTATTAATAGTCAGGGCCATGTGGCCAAAAAGAAAATAAAACAATTCAAATATGAGACATAAGGGCTAGACACGGTGCTTTATATCACGGTCCTATAAATAGGTTCAAAGTATCAAATACTTATAAATGAATTTTTCAAATATGTAAATGAGAGAAAATGAAGTTATTCCTGTAATGACTTGCCCTTTTCACTTGAATTTTGTATGCTTTCGTCAGAAAAGGCTAATGAAACATCTAATGCACAGGGATGCATGTGAGTCCAGGCAAAAATACTGCAAACCACTATTCAGAATAGTCTCCTAAATACGCAATCATTATCCATAACAGACAGTAGGCTAAAAATCCAGGCAGATTTCAAATATTCCAGTCACTTGCTGACTGGGCATTCTAAGGCATTTTAAAAATTTATATGGTTTAGGTTTCATTTAATTCAGATATCCAGGAATATACAATCATTACATTCCCAATAGTACTTTTAAAAACAAGGTACAGGCCAGGCATAGTAAGTCACACCTGTGATCCCAGCACTTTGGGAGGCCAAGGTGGGAAGATCACTTGAGCCCAGGAGTTCGAGACCAGCCTGAGCAACATAGTGAGACATCAACTCAACAAAAAATAATACAAGTTAGCTGGGTGTGGTGGTACGCGCCTATAGTCCTAGCTACTCGGGAGGCAAGAGGATCACGGGCCCAGGAGGATCACGGGCTGCACTGAGCTGTGAATCCTGCCACTGTAACCCAGCCTGCGTGACAGGGCAAGACCTTGTCTCCAAAATAATAAAAAACAAAATAAAATAAAATAAAAAAACATAATTGTGCCTAACACAGTATGACTTATCATAGACATAACTAGGAAATATTAGCAAATCTGAGGATTATTGAATAATGAAAACACAGTACTATTATCTCATCAGAGGATGCTGTCTTTTACATATATGAAATTTATCTTTCTACATATTCTTTTGATTACTGTTATTCATTAGCATATTCATAATAGTATAACCACCACCTATTGAGAAATTACTGTAGGCCAAATGCTTCACTGTCATTATCACATGCAATCCTTATAAAACCTTTTATGGTGGTAATTATATTATTGTTCCCATTTACAGATAAAGAAAATACAAATTAGAGATATTAAGTACCCACGGGGGAGTCAAAGAGCAAGTAAGTGGGGGAACCAGAATTGGGGGCTGTCTGCGTCCACAATAACCACTCTCAATTACTACAGCAGACCGTCACAACCAGGTTGTGAACAAGTTAAGCACTTCATACACATGCACTGAAGGCTCACGACAGAGAAGGTAGGTAGTGTTACTAACTCCATTTTTATGCATTCATTCAACAACTTCTTATTAAGTAGTCCTTATACCTAAGCACTGTATTAGGTGCTAGGGGTACGCAGCCAAGGGAAACAAACCACAGACCCAGTTCTTACTCTGCCCTAATGAGGCTTACAATCCAAGAAAAGATTTTTCTTTTTTTGGAGACAGGGTCTCAGTCTGTTGCCCAGGTTAGAGTACAGTGGCGTCATCATACATAACTCACTGCAGCCTCAAATTCTTAGGCTCAAGTGATCCTCCTGTCTCAGCCCCTCGAGTAGCTGGGACTACAGGCACTTGGAAAAAAAACTGGCCAGACATGGTGACTCAGCCTACAATCCCAGCAATTTTGGAGGCTGAGGCAGGAGGATCACTTGAGGCCAGGAGTTTGAGAACAGCCTGGGCAACATAATAAGACCCCATCTCTACAAAAAATAAAAAATTTT